GCCTGACCCTAGTCCCCTTGGAGACAACCACTCTCCACGCCTGCTCCTCCTTCGCAGGTGTCCTGCTAGGCAGGACACCTACCTGAAGGAGTTCCGTCCTGAGGGCTTCATTTTCCCCCTTTAGAGTGTCAACCTCACTCCTCAACTGCCCCAGCTGCCTTAACAGCGTGGCAAGGAGGTCGTCCTTCTCCACACTCCCCTCCTCTTCCCCCACGGCACAACGGTCCAAAGCGGCCATTTTCCTTGGTCTCTAACGGGAGCACGATCAGCACGACCTTCTCCAAGCTGGGTCAGAGGTCGTAGCATCATGGGGACACCACGTGGTCTGAGGTATGGTCCCAGGTCTCTCTATCGTGGAGTCTCAGGGGAATTATCACTGGGTACCTGGGACCTCACTGTGTGAAGGTTAGCTTGGGTAAGACTCAACTGCCGAGTTGTTTTTCACTGACTTAAGCACTGTTCACCACTATTCAACACTGGTTCCATTCATTTCCCAAATGAAATAGTAACTTCTGGGGAGAACTTGTTGATATTTCAGTGGGGAGGAGGGTTCAGGGGAGGGAGTTGGTATGGGCCAACATAACAGTTGACGTGGCTACTGCTGAGCAGCGCCAGGTGCGTCTGACCCGTCTTGACCCGTCGGTGGTCAAGGATGAAGTGTGTGTGTGGTGTGGGAGGTGAGGAGTGTAAGCTGTGTGTGTGTGGTGGGAAGGTAAGGAGTGTGTGTGTGTGGTGTGGGGAGGTGAGGGAGTGTGTGTGTGTGTGGTGTGGGTGGGAGGTGAGGAGGTGGTGTGTGTGTGTGTGTGTGTGTGTTTGGGGAGGTGGGGAGTGTGTGTGTGTGGTGTGGAGGTGTGTGGGGAGTGTGTGTGTGTGTGTGGTGGGGAGGTGAGGAGTGTGTGTGTGTATGTGTGTGTGGTGTGGGGAGGTGAGGAGTGTGTATGTGTGTGTGGTGTGGGAGGTAAGTATTGTGTGAGGTACAGGGAGGTGAGGAGTGTGTGTGTGTGTGTGTGTGTGTGTGTGTGTGTGTGTGTGTGTATAGTGTGGAGGAGGAGGTATGTGTGTGGTGTGGAGGTGAGGAGGGTGTGCGTGTTTTTGGTGTGGGAGGAAGTGTGTGAATGGGGGTGTGGGACGATTGATTTTATTTGCTGGTTGCTAAAGGGCTACTTTTATTGTTCAATTCTACACTCATCCTGTGAGAAAGCGGTAGCGCAAAAGGATTGCTAGAGTAGAGTTTACAAAGGGTCATAATAATTAACCCCGTTGTCAGGATATTATGGTAATTGAATGTTACACAGTATTTCATTTACATTATTTGTTTAGTTCTATAAATGTTGGCACCCTAGTTCACAATGCGTGAGTACAAGAGTGTGAGGTGTATGTCTGGCCTCACACTTTGTTATTCACATTTACGTGGGAGGTATTCACTGTTAATATAGTCGGCTATCTTAAGAGATCAAGTGTTGTGCCATTTCCCACACACAGTGTGTTTGGGATCTGTCCTAAAAGCTTTCTATCTTCACACAGTCGAGGATGAGTAGTTATGTAGCTATATGTATGGCCACACACTTTACATTTAGTTTTGCTTTACATCTGCTCTGGAATATTTATACATCGAGGGGAGGAGAGGGTGGATCAGAGATGATAGGTGAGGACTTTCTGATTTCTCTGGTTAGATTCCGTTTCTTGCGTGTTTTCGCCCAACAGTATCCCTCTACTTTAAAGCCCTGCCCATTTTGTGCAACCAATATTTTTGTTAAGGGTGTGGGGAGGGGGGGGGGATATATTTACATAACTATTAATTTCTGACGGAACCAAAGGCCAAATTCGTATGAAACACTATAAAATAAAGTGTAAAAACTTATTTTCCATAGTAATTTCGGTACATAGCAAATTCTTAATATTTACCCTAAAGTTTGTTCTTAATATTACAAGGTGGTCCATAAGAAGGTAACTTACAGATCTCGTAGACCCCTGCACACGCAAAACTCTGAATATACAAACACAGCACAAAGACACTATATAACACTGACTCCATTTTCACTACTCTCTACGGTACTTCTCTTATTACGAGTCATTTTTCCCAGGTTACATTCCATAAAGTAACACATCCACATTTCCTTACTTATAACGTCAACAAAAAAAAACAGAAATAAAAGGTTCCGAATCTTTATCGTCACTCATAACATCGGTTCACAAAACCCTAGAGAGCCTTCTGAAATCCCTTAACCATCTAAATATGATAAAATTATTGAACAAGGTGTAAGATATTTAATAATCTCAGTATTATTGTTTTGAGGGCACTCATTTTACATGCATTTTTTTAGTTTCTTTTTTCCGTTTGGGACAAAGAAAACTCAAACAATATTCAACCCAAAAATGACTTGTATACAGTACCATATTTGTTCTGAACACCGCATTTATCAATCATTTTCAGTATGCATATATAAGTTTTTTATACAAATTAATAAATCTTAAAAATAGGTAAAACCCTACTTCACAGTAATAAATATTAAAAATACTCAAGGTCCTTTAGTTAATATATTCATTGGTTATCATATCGGGTTGAATTTCGGATTTCAGTTGACGAGAAAACAGGAATCGTTTCTGGGTCAAGTGAGAAGATTTTCATATCTGTACGAAGTTGTTAACAAATCGTGAAACTCGTTAATATGTTTCTTATCTTTTTTTCCTGGGTGAACAAAAGGAAAGGTATTTAGTCATTTAACTCCAGATGAAATAATGGGAGTTTCCTTGGACTCCATACAGAGGGATTAATCCTGAACATGTATTTTGGTTAGAAGTGGAATGTATGTCAATGAAATGACGTCAGTTGTAAGCAAAGTGTGCTTACATCTCGATTCAGAGAGGAAAAATCAGTGGCACTGGCAGTGAAGATGGCATTATTAAGGACATGTAAATAAATTTAAATACCAGTGTAAGAGGAGTTGCTGCCAAATTGAAATAAGTATAAAGTTACTATTTATGTACAGTTGTCGAGGTAAATGTGCACACTGGTTCCACAGATTTGATAATGGTTTCCTTCCCATAGGAATATATATATATATATATATATATATATATATATATATATATATATATATATATATATATATATATATATATATATATATTCCTATGGGAAGGAAACCATTATCAAATCTGTGGAACCATAGAGGGTAAAAATTCGTTTATATCCTAATTTCCCTAAGTGGCATGATTTATTTATCGAGTTTATTTTATTTTTTTAATTGCACGTCAACCAGGAACCTTAGGATTTTATTTTATTTACAGTAGAAGAAAAGAGCTTTCTTACCATATAAAATTATTAAAATTAGAAGGATTTCACAATCAAAATATGGCTTAGGCATGAAATTTTTCTTAAATGAAGTTTTTCACGTTGAATACATTGGTGATAATGGAAGTTTATGGAAATGCATGATTGTTAAATTAGGACTCGCTATCTTTACCTATCAAAGATGGACAAGGCTTTAAAGCAGAGGGAAAATGTGGAATTAAAACATAACTAAAAGAACCTAACGTAACCTAATGTGGACAATGTACTCACCTACTGGATAAATATTCTGCACAAACATTCTAACATATAAGTCAGTTTACACAGTAATTATCTACCTTCCAGCCATGCCATATTGATAATACATGCCACCCGTGATGTGCCCTTTTCATAGAAGGTAAAAGCTTTCGTACCAACCACCTAAATGGCTAGTAAGCAAAGTAATAAGTTAGATTACCAGAAGAAATTGAGAAAAACATGCAAGCGGAATACAATTGACGCAATGTATAGGATTTGTACTTTTCAAATTCTGTATTTATCTCCCAGGTTTTCCAGTAAGTAAAGATCCTCTATGCCCATTGTCCACTTTATGACATAACATTTGTGCTCCAACTGTTGACAAATATTTCACAGCGATCGAATTGCCCTGAATATCTCTGCAACAGAACACTTCCCAATCTGTAAATGAACTTCCTTTCCTTATGGACCTACCTATCCATGGGTAATATACCTAATCTAACCTAGAATAGAAATATTAAGTTATTTAATAATAACTTTTGCGATTAGTGTTTGTGTATATAAAAAGAAAGACACTGCTTCTGGGAAGTTACCATCTTCATGTAAATCATGTAATTAGTCTTATAAGAAGGTCTTTCAGATACCTAGACTGTACATCCCTCGAAACACTACAGAAGTGAGGTGCTTCCCCGTTTAGAGTACTGTACTATGCTAGAGATAGTCAGTTGATTGAAAACATCCAAAGGAAGGCCACCACCAGACTGATGCCTGCACTACAGCACCTCAGTTCCCCAATGAGATTAGAACACCTGCATCTGCCTATACTGTAGTACGAACTTAAACTATGGGTCTATAAACACTCCAGATGATATTACTCAGTCGAGTAACCATATCTGGAGCTGGCGGATGCTCGCCCCTCTAGAGGTCATAGCTTAAGGTTGAAGCCACAAGATCGAAAAATTGTCAGGGGGCCAATTTTTCGGAACGAGTATTATGAAGCCTTGGAACAATCTGCCATTGTTGTCACAGCACTAAGTGTGAGCTCTTTCAAGACCAGACTTGACCAACACTAGCACAGGTACATATATATCCTGGAGCCTGTACTGGCCAACAATGTGTAACAGAGATGTAACCAAGCGGCTAACAAGCCGATCAATGGTGAAAAGGATGAAGTAAAGTAATGATAAAGATACTAATTTTTCGATATATCGGATAAGATATAAAGATGTATGTACGGTATGTCTACACTTGGGTGATGCTATTCCTAATTTGTCTGCAGTTTCCTTAGGACATACCCATATAATATGTTCGCGTATGTATGTATAAATCTGTTTATCTATTTATTTATTTTGCCATGTATATGGCAAATGTCCAGTTACCCACAAGATTGTCATGTATAAGTACAACTGTCGATTGATAGCATCATTGTGCAATACAAAATCATACGAGCAAAATGAATCAAACAAAAACATGCACTTCATCTTTATTTATTTTTAAAGGAAGTTATTAACTACATGTTATAGTTCTGCATGGCGAAAACGAGCAACAGAAACATATAATGGTGTTACTTCAATGACTAAGGGTTAATAAAGTGCTAAAGTCAGGGAGGGTGGAGTTCACCCCTGTCTATGTTGGCCCCAAAGGAGGTGAAATTGACGCCTATTCTCTGGCAGCAGGTGGTAGGCAGGTGGTCGACCCAGCAATCTTGGCCTCAATCCAGGTCAGGTAGTCTGGGGGACACATATACATCTCTTAGTGATCACATGTCACCTTAATGCCCAACACATGTTACTTCAGTATTAAACTCAATCAGAATATCAATAAACTACAGCTGCTACTACTATTTTTATTAGTACTACTACTACTACTACTACTACTATTACTACTGCTGCTAATACTACTACTATTACTGTAATAGCAATGCTACTATTATTACTACTCGAAAGTATGTAACACCCACTTGGGTGTCACACAACTAAACAACACTAGTAACAGAGTATACAATGATAACACTTCAGAACTAAGCTTAAATTTATTAAAATACAGCATGCTTTTGCTTGGGAGTAAAACAAGTGATGGTTCTCACAGATAAAGGAGGTATAAAAGAAGCTGTAGACTTACTTGTGACCCTGGCGTAGACTCCTGGGTAATCGGCATCAGCACAACCGTAGCCCCAAGACACTACACCGATCTGTACCATGAACCTCTGGCTACTGTCCCCAGCAGTGACCATGGGACCACCAGAGTCACCCTGGACAACACAAAATGTCTCAGTAAAACACAGAAGTTTTGTAGATAACATGAAGATTAGGCACCCCAGCTAACTTCGCCTGATTATACAACACCTTAACGTGAAATGCGAGGGTTAAGGTGTTTAATTATCAGGTGAATAAGCTGGGGTGACTAATTTTCACTTGATCCCCTTAGTCATAAGGCTATCATATGTGTAACATTTATAATCAGTTTGCAGTGAAATATGAGGATGTACAGCTACCTATCCTTTCATTTATGACTTACATAGAAAATTGTTGATCTTATTTATATTTCATGGTGATATACTAGTTAGTTTGGATGGTACTTAAGCAATTAATGACAATAGAAGTGAGTATAATATAATAGAGAGGGAGTAAAGAACAATAAGTGACAAGGAAGATGGTAATGGGAGAGAGATGGGTAGTAGGAGTAGAAGGAGGGAGTGTTACCTGGCAGGAGTCCTTGCCACCAGCGTCTGTGCCAGCACAGATCATGTTGGAAGTTATGCCTGAGCTGCTGTACTTGGTTTTACACTTGTCGTTGGTCATGGTGGGTACCGTGACCTCATACAGCGTGTTTGGCTGTGACCCGCCTGTCACACACACACATATATTGTTAGCTTCAGAAATGTCACTTGAACATGTGGGTCCCTAGCTCCATAAATACTACCAAAAAAATATGATGTTCTGCACTCCAGTTGAGACGAAATAGTTCTTATAAATATTATAGATGGTAACTAATTCTCATGTATTATTTTAGACAAATGACTCCTACACCGAGTGACTGACCTGAGGTAAGACTGTCATAACTGACCTGAGACAAGACTGTCATATCTCACCTGAGACAAGACTGTCATAGCTGACCTGAGACAAGACTATCATAACTGACCTGAGGTAAGACTGTCATAACTGACCTGAAACAAGACTGTCATAACTGAACTGAGTTAAGACTGTCATAACTGACCTGAGGTAAGACTGTCTTAACTGACCTGAGGTAAGACTGTCTTAACTGACCTGAGGTAAGACTGTCAAAACTGACATGAGACAAGACTGTCATAACTGAACTAAGACAAGTCTGTCATAACGGACCTGAGACAAGACTGTCATAACCGACCTGGGGAAAGACTGTCATAACTGACCTGAGATAAGACTGTCGTAACTGACCTGAGACAAGACTGTCAGAACTGACCTGATATAAGAGTGTCGTAACTGACCTGAGACAAGACTGTCATAACTGACCTGGGGTAAGACTGTCATAAATGACCTGAGATAAGACTGTCGTAACTGACCTGAGAGAAGACTGTCAAACTGACCTGATATAAGAGTGTCGTAACTGACCTGAGACAAGACTGTCATAACTGACCTGGGGTAAGACTGTCATAACTGACCTGAGACAAGGCTGTCATAACTGACCTGAGACAAGACTGTCATAACTGACCTGGGGTAAGATTGTCATAACTGACCTGGGGTAAGACTCTCATAACTGACCTGAGACAAGACTGTCATAACTGACCTGGGACAAAACTGTCATAACTGACCTGAGACAAGACTGTCATAACTGACCTGGGACAAAACTGTCATAACTGACCTGAGGAAAGACTGTCAAAACTGACCTGGGGTAAGACTGTCATAACTGACCTGAGATAAGACTGTCGTAACTGACCTGTGACAAGACTGTCATAACTGACCTGAGACAAGACTGTCATAACTGACCTGAGGTAAGGGTGCCCCAGCCAGTCACAGTAGCATCAACATTGCTGTAAAGTTCGCCTGATGTAGGGAAACAGACAGGGGCGATCTTGTTGTCACTGGTGAAGGTGATGGGATTTGTTAGCTTCAGGAGTGCAATGTCGTTGTCGTAGGTGTTTCTGTTGTAGCTCGGGTGCACGATTATCTAGGGACAAAATATTGGTCATACTTGTAGATGATAACAAATATGAGTCATCCTTATTAACACTGACAGTCATAGTGTGTAAGTTGATAAATGTAATATTTGTGAAAACTATATTTTATTTTCATGCCAAGTTTAAAGATGGTAACTGAGCTAAACGATGATGAGATATTTGATAACTTGATCCATCGCTAAAAAGCCCGTTAGACACAATGTTACCTTTCATAGGAGTTGCCATACCTGAGCAATACTGAGGCGCTCTGTGGCCGACGTCTCGGAAGTGCTGGTGTACTTGTGCTCGCCGATCACCACCATGTTGCTGGTGGTCATGCTGTAAGACATAAGCTGTGTTACTCCTACACTGTTTGTCACACATCACCAGTATATTTGATCTTCCTAGTACTATTCTCTCTCTCTCTCTCTTTACCAATGCTTCTTTCTTGACTTGCAAGATATGAAACCTTTATATGCAAGTTTTATTTGTCTGCAGGAGAATCTGAGGCACAGAGAAGTTTTCATAATGATCAGGTGTCTGTAGTTATTTAATGGTATTTGGAAGACTGTAGAAGTTTATAGATTACGATTTGTATTTTAGGAAGAACTTTCCACAGGTAAATATGATCTATTCATGATACTGGATAAAGTTTTGGACAACATTACATGATATGAAGATCTGTAGCTCACTGAAGACAATAGGACGTAGCAAGAGGCGATGAAGTTAAATTATATTGCCACATATATATTTTTAAAAGTTATTTATAATATATTGTTTGGGGGTTTATAACCCTACATCAACCTTTACCCATGCCCGCTGAAGATTGATTTTAAGTGTATTTTTGTAAACTTATTTTGTATAATAGCTAATGATAATGATAATGAACTAACTTAATCAAAATTCTAATTAACTCGGGGAATATAGAGAGTCGGGTCAGACGGTCCGTTACGATAGGGCCGTAATCCTAAAGATTAATTGCCATTTGATTAGTCAGCCGTCCTCAAAAATGAAGGATATTAGAAATTACCAGGAATGATGTTTTATTAGTGTAGTCACCCAACACAAGATGGAGAGCCCTGGTGACTTACACGGCAGCGCAGTGAGCAGCAGTGAGGATCCACTGGTTACTGATGATGGAGGCGCCACAGAATGGTGTTGAGCCGGAAGAACTGACGAGAGCCACTTGCCAGGGATACTCGTGTATCTCAGTTGGCTGACCACCCACGATACGAGTCTGTCGGTTGACTTGTCCACACTCTGTTCCCACAACATCACACAACTTCTTAATCCTTGCATATATTTAACACCACATACTAACATTTGAAAACGTCCAACATGTAAATAAGCTTTTTTTTTTATGAGGATTAGCCCACAAAGGCACAGGACAATGACCCACATCGGGGCCTGGGGGGGGGGGGGTAATAATAATTCAGTAAAGTAAAATTTATAATAAAGTATACACAAATAAAATGATAATGATAATATTAATAAAAACAACACTGC